CTTTCCCTTCCCTCCATCCCAAAAATCCAAGCTACACACTGCACTTGTTCCAGCCTCCAAGAAGTCTCTTGTCCGTCCGTTTCCCACCCCAGACACAGCTCTGCCTCCATGATGAAGACAGTCAGGGCTCTGAGGCAACATCATAGCAGCATTTTGGGTGGCATGACTAACTCTGGCAGGGTTCTGCAGTAAACCTGCATATCAGCTGGATGACCAGGCAGTGTCACAGGGTTTTCAAGGTATAAAACAGACCACCAGCTGCCAACGCCGTGCAGCATCATTATCAGGTGGTCCATATTCCAACCCAGGTATAGGCCGACGGTCCCACTATCAAGCTGGCTCCCTGCTCTGCTCTGGGACCTTTCAGGAAGGGCCAAACAATGGCCAACAGAGGAACTTCTGACAAGTGAGGCAGAAGCAAAATCAGCTCCAACCCCCTCTCTTCCCTCTGCCTGGCTGGCCCCTGGGTCTGGGGACACACTTGTCTCATCAACAGATGAAATTTCTGTGTTTTACTCACTTCAGTAGCTTGGGCTGAAGCAGGCGCTGCAGGCGATCGCTTATGATGGAGCTGCTCAGCAATTCCTTCTCATGGCTCTTCCCTGTGGAGAAGACACACACGTGGGCATAGAAGGATAACCCCAAGTGGCAAACCCACTGCTTTCCAAAGCCACTTGACAGCGCTCCAAGGGCTCTAACAAAGGGCTGGCTTCCTTGGACACAGTTTTCTGAAGGCTGCTTACAGGGCTGAGAGCCCTGAGCTCGGGGTTATAGTCCTGCAGTATTTTCTTGTGGACCTAGTGCAGGGTGCGACCAAGTGAGCACTGGAGCAAATAAGTTGAAAAGACCAAGTCAAAATTATCTGAGTACCAAGGCCAGGCCCTTACAAGGCTTCTACTGGAATAGCGTGTCCAGTCTTGGGCACAGCATGTCAAGAACCATGTGGGCTAACAGCAGGGAGTCTGGAGGAAAGCAACCAGAATGAGAAGAGGCATAGGAAAGCAAAACCACGTTTGTTTTGCCTGGAGAAGACAGAGGGAAGCTCTGACAACAGCCCTCCAATACTTAAATAGTGACTGTGAAGGAAAAAAAAAAAAGCTATCAGCAGTTCTCCAAGCCCACTGGGGAAGGAGCAGTGGTCTTCAACTACAGCAAGAAAGATTTAGGTTTGGCACCAGGGCAAATACTCTATCAGTAAGGACTTGTGAGCACTTGAATAGATTCCACAGCCCCCAGGGTCACATTGTCTAGACTCTTTTCAAAGCTTCCAAACACCTGCCGGTAACAGTTTAGGTACAGCTAATCCTCTCACAAACATGGGAGTGGACAAGAGAAATTCCCGAGGTTCTCCCCAGCCCCATTCTCTGCGATTACATGACGTGGAGCAGCACACAAAAGAGGAGACCGCTTACATTTCTTTACTTGAAGTTCATCAAAGGACTTAATGCCTTGTGCCATCTTTTCCCGGGTATCTTCGTTGGCAGGTGGACCCTAGTGAAGACCAGAAGAGTTAAAGACGAGAGACAGGACTTTCTGGTGGAGAATTCACTCCACTGTTGAAGAGCTGACACCAACATTTCTGTGCTTCTAAAAACAGCCTAATAATTTACCCGTGCAGCACCTGTCTCTCTGATGAACTGGACAAGAGAAACTCCGTTTCTCACCCACTGACTGCCCCAATTTGCATTTTCACCGACTGGCACTCTCGCTTGCTGGTCTCTGGCTTCTATTCTGTTCTGTCCCATCCAGGAAGAAAACAGAATAACTGCAGACTTCCTCAGCCTGAAGAAGGGTGTTTGTACCCGAAAACTTGTAAAGAAGAATTTTTCCAACTGTTTTTTTTGGTCTAATAAAAGATATCAGATTTACCCAAAGAACCTTGTCTGCCTGTGTCCTGCAACCTATACACCCAAGCATGTTAGGGCACTGACTGCTTTCACAGAGGGTTCCTCTGGACTTCACTTCCCTATGGCTCTCAAGCAGATGATAAGTGGTTTGCCCATCTTATTTGAGACACTGGTCAACTCCGCAAAAACAGAAATGCACAATTCCCTGCACCCAGCCTACTACCCAGAGCACCTTGCAACGGCTGAGTATTGCAGCAAAGAGCATTCTGGGTAGAGGCATGCAGATGACTAACTTCACCTGAATCCTTACTTCAGATGGGCACCTGGATGCTGTGCTGGTGGGAAACAGTTTAGTTATGAGAACAACTGTCTCTATAAACCCCAAGCCAGGTTGAGGTCCCACTGTGCTGTGCACCCTCCAGGGATAGAAGAACTTGCCCCAGAAAACTCTAGGCTTACAGGACGGCCAGCAGGCAAGTTATGAACAATTTCCAGAGAAGCAGAGCATCCAGCTGCAGCAGATGTGGAACACTTGGTGCCCGCACCCGCAGGCCTACCGGCTGGCTGGTGTTTTAAAGCAGAACGGTTATGGACACACGTTAAGGTGCAAACTTGTGCCCTTTGCAAGCAAGAATGACGAAAAGCTGCCCTGTCCTCACTTCTCAAATTCAGGGGAAAAATAACAAACAAAGAGCTGACTCTCTCCCTTAGGCAAAAAAATAAATGAACTAATCAAAACCAGGATGCAATTACCTTGCTGCTCACTAACATCCGTTTCGAGAGAGTGTAAAAACTACAAGCTAAGGCTAAATAATACAGGAATAATGCCTGGGAACCCAATGAGTCACACTTACAATTCCCGACGCTTTATCTTTAAAGTACGGCTTCCTGAAGTGACCCAGAAACAGGTTTGATGGCAAGCTTCTTCCATCTGCTGCCCTGGTTGTTTTTTGCACGCCAACCTCCAACATGATTTCCGCCTGTAAGGCAACAATAGTTCAGACACGCACATCAGCGTCACGGCGAAACGATCCGACCCCCAACCTCAGCCGGTGGCCCAGGTGTCATCAACATCCCAAGAGAGCTGAATTACTGTGCAACATCAGGCTATATAAGGGGTGGTTTGCCAGTCTCACATCCTAGCCGACCACCTGGAAATTCAGAGGGTATTTCAGCAACTGGCCAAACGGGCAGCCCCTCCCAGCAACAAGAGACTGAGCAGAAACACGCGCCGCGTGGCAAACTCCCCGACGGCACAGAGCAAAGCTTCTCCGCTCATTGAGGAAAACGCAACTAAAACCCACAGGTCTTTACATCCCTCCTTGAGCCCTTCCCACAAGGCTCCAGATGCTAGCACTGGACACAGGCAGGGCAACCTGCTTTAACGGGAAAGCGTCGAGGCAGAACGGTATTAAAAAATTCCTCGCTGATAACAACACCGGCGTTTTTTCTGAATCCCGCTCATTTCTCATGGCGACGACG